CGCCATTGGCTGGGGCGGCGGCAGCGCGGCGGGCGCAGCCAATGGGAGCGCGGCTTCCATGGGGCTTGAGTTATTAGACGGCGGGGTAAAAGCACCGCGCGGCAGAAGCCAAGGAGAGGCCGCGGGACCCGCAGCCATTTTTCTGCAGTGGAGCGAAATGGCCAACTGGGCTTTTCCTTTGTTCCATAAAGGGGGATCCGCCATGTGAATCCACACCACGCGGGGTGGTGGGAGCCTCTAGCACGGTGCCAGACGACTCACTGAAGAAGGAAGATTTAAATATATATATATATAATCTCAAACCCTTAACAAAAAAAAAAAAAAGTAATGCGGATTTTTTTTTTTTCTCCCTTATGATTCGGGATCCATCTTTGTCTTGTGTAACTAGGTCATGGCACACCCTATGTCAGCAGTTAACAATTTCGAATGCCAACAAAAAGAGTAAATACATTCTTTTTATATTTTTTTCGTTGTTTTGGGGGTTTTTAAGCTTAAAACAGCTCTGATGACTGAACAATAAATTTGAGAGACTTCTATATTAAACATTTGATTCCTGGCCATTTTTCTTAACTCCTTTGGTGCTTAAAAGGTAATGTTTTAAATATAGGTATAGGAATAGTGAATTCTGGCAAAAAATAAGGCAATTTTACTATGATAAGCTTTTTTCTTTCTTTCCTCTTACATTGTAAGTACCCAATCCATTCTGTCCTTGCTAAGTGTAGTTTTCATGTTAATGTTACTGAAGTGGTCCTTATTGCTAAGCCTTCATTTGCATGTCTTATGTTTTTGTCTGTTTAAACCAATTTATGCTTTTTGAAATATTTTACTTTTAAAGCGATCTATCTGGCTAAGATATGCTTAAAAGCTGTTTAGAACCAGTAAATGTTAACAAGGTGTTTTCACACTGGCATATGCAGCCTAAAACTATTGAGAATATTTTTAGTGTCTGCGTGCTCTGTGGAAAAACACTGAACGTCCTTTTTATGTACAGAGTAAATCTGCCACAGGAAGGTAGATTTAAGCCTCGAGCAGGAGTCCTCGCCTGTGTACGGTCAGTCAACATAGCTGGACTTTTTCTATAGCTTTTTTTCCCCCTTTATTTTGCCTCTTTTTTTTGATGCTAGACCACTGCCATACAAAGRTCTGTAACTAATCTTAACAAGATCCGCTTTGGCTTGCAAACTTACGAGAGAAGTGGTGATACAGATCATATATATATTTATAGCYATTATTTTAAAAAAGAGTAACAACTTCACCTTCAGAGCTGCATTCAACTATGGTGTGCGGGTAAGTAAACCCTTTTGCCCTTGCAGAGGAACAAATAGCCCAGGCCTGTAGCTAATGGTATTGTCCTGGGTGGAAAGATCCCAATGGTCGTCTGAAAGCGGTGGCGATCTCCTTCTCCTCAGAAACATCTAACAGTGCCTCTGAAACGTCTCTTTTTCAGGGAGGGATTTGATTTCTCTTTCTGCACAAAGCTCTTGGTCGTCCTCAGACCTGGGTGGTTGGGGTTTTTTTTTTATGCGGAGAGACGCTGTGAATCCATTGCAGGCGTTACGTGGCTGTTAAATTGAAAGCACCAAAAAAATAAAAAAAAAAATCTGCCTGTGAACAGTAAGATGTTAGTGAGGTTGATGTTAAAAAAAGGCGAGAAGGCGGTGGTGGTGATGGTAGGGATCCCTTACATGTTTTATCCGCCTAATTAAAGAAGCTCGACAAAAAACAGGCAACAAAATGGGGGGGGTGTTTTTCACGACGGTGAGTCTTAATGGCGGATGTCTCCCTAGAAAGCACTGTAAAATCCTTCATACCGAKAGGCAGTGACTTGGAGAGAGGGGGGAAAAAGGAGGTCTGGAAGTATATCCAAAATGAGGGAGTTTCCTTCCAAGTGAGGGACCCTTTGCAGCCTGAGTGTTACAGATGGAGAGCCGTGACGCAGTTGATATTCACAGCAGTTGTGCTTTAGTGCTGCCACCCAGCCCACGAAATGGCCTCCCCGCCGAATTCTGGTGGGTTTATTATGTGAAAGGCTGCAGCAGCCCCGTGTCCCGGGCGGCGGGAGGGGCGGCCGGCGGTGGGCACGGCGCTCCCGGTCGCGCTCCGTGTTGTGTGAGGGCAGCCGCCATCATGGCTTCTCCTTCCCTTCGGCGCCGCGTTCTCCTCAGCGCTGGGCGGTGGCCGGCGGGCTCTCCCCCGCTGCCTCCCGGCGCTCCGCGTCCCGGGCGCTGCAGGGAAATGGTGGGTTTGGGGTGGTTTGTTTTTTTGGTTGTTTTTTTTTTCCCCTTTCCCGCCCCCTCCTTCCCCCAGCGCTTTGTGAGGGGCTGTGGAAGGGCGAAGCCAGGCAGGGAGCGCCGGCTCTTTCTCCCAGCGCACAACATGGCGGGAGCGCCCTGCGGCAGCGGGGCTGGCGGCGCTCCAGCCGKGCCGGGCGGGGGGGCGGCCGGCCGGGAGGACAAAGGCAGCTCGGATAATGCCGGCGCAGCCCCGGCTGCTATAAATAACACCGCCCTTCCCCCGCTGCAGCCTCGCGCTTACTTATAAACAGCAAGCTATGGAAGTCGCCTAATAGAGATGGGGGGGGGGAAAAGAGGAACAAACAACCATACACACCCCACGCCACACGCACAAGGGAAAAAATAAAATGTACCGAAAAATTAAAGCCTGGACAGTGTGGGGGACGGGGGGAACCAGCAGCGTTGGCTGCGGGAGGGGCCGGGCGGCGCCGCCACCTCCCCGCCCGGAGCGGGTGCGCCGGGGGGAGCGCGGCCGCCGCTCCCCGTCACATGGCTCTTTGTTGTTTTCCTTCTCTGCCTCTCCTGGGCTGTTCCCCCCTCCGCCATCGCCCAGCCGGGGTAGCGCTGCCCTGCCTCCTCCGGCCTGCAGCGCTGAGCTCTCGGGCCCGCACGGGCAGGGCTGGCGCGGAGCCGGTGCTGCGCTGCAGTGGAGCCGCCATGGCCCGACGAGGTGTTACATGTGGCGTCTTTT